AGACCTATAAAAGTGTTGCCTTATTTCTCAGTGTGAATCTCCCTAGAACTGGCCAGTAAAGAAAACAAGCTCTAATCTTCTTCTGTGTCACAGCACTTCAGAAGGCTGAATAATGCTGGCATGGATCCTCCTCAGTCTTCTTTCCTCCACTCTTGATATATTCAATTTCTTCAACAATTTTTTCACAAGATTTATTCTCCATATCACTGGTGATTTGGCCTCCTGTGAATCATTCCAGTTTGTCTATATCTTCCTTAAAGTATGGCTTTCTTAATTAGCCTCGTATCTAGATATTGTGAGTATCAAGTTGAATTTATCTGTGCCCATGGCTGGGATTTTCAATTTAGATCATTCCTTCAGTGAAATCAGAGATCAGAATCTCTTCTTCTGAAAAGGGTGCAAAGCCAAATGCATATATTGGGGAAAAGTACATAGACTAAAAAAGTGGGGGAAGTCACTTGTAAAAAGGTCTATACGTGCTAGGAAAATTGCATGCAGAAAGGCAAATATTTGGAGAAATTAGCATAATTTTTGTGCTGATATTTTTTATATAGATAGGAGAAATTGGTTCCCCCAATTCTTTTACATCAAACCTGGTATAAAAATGGACTGATGTGAACAAATAGACCAGGTGTACACATTGTGGAACTTGGCTGGGTTTATCAACCACAATATCTGGGTTCATGCAACAAGGGAAGCCTAAAGCAAACCACATTTTGGCTTAGAGTGTGAATCAGTCATAGTAAGTAACATATTAAATGAAAATTAGCAGTTCTACCTGTCTGTGTTTTTTTAGAATGATTTCATATAAGATTTGGCTTTGGTGATTGAGCAGATTGTTTTCCAATATGATCAGCCCCAAAATTCAGTTCTTTTACTATACTTTATGTTATTTTTATGTTCCCATTCCTGAGTTAATCTTGACAATGAATTATATTTAAAATGGTTTCTCATTTCTGACATGATGACGGATATAATAAAAAGCACTATACCTTTTGTTGAGAAAATCAAAAGAAAGCAATATTGCAAAAATTGCATGTGTTTCCACTACATCTGTGCTTCTTATGGTCAATAAGCTATGCTAGTTCAAGCTTCAATTTTGATCAAAAATTTATGGCAGCAGAGGTCATTGAAATTTGTGGGGAGTGTGTATATACTTTTCATTATATTTCTGCTGTCTCAGTTGTGACAACTCCATGAAGACTCATGTTTGCCTTTTTAAAAGATATGAAACTCCATAGCAATAAACTTTAGTACTGTTGATCTACTCCTAGTTGTTTGGTTCTGGGCTTATGTTCATATTCATTTAAACTGTTCAATGTGCTCTTAACTCTTTTTCTTTTCTACCAAGTTTCTTCACTAAAGCCAGCTAATTCTGAATTGTGGATGGAGCACAGGTCTTTTTCTGTAGCCTAAATAGCAGTATGCTCTGCAATCCAAACAGCTTGTCCATATCTACAGATCTTATTTGGAAATAATCTTTACTACATATGATGAAGGCTATGTCTCCATTGAAGAGCTCCTTGGAGGGGGTCACAATAGTCTTGTGGCTGTTTCATCTGTGAGCATTCTGATGGATTTCTAGGAGGAGTTGATTTTTCTGTAGCACACAGCAGTAGGTGGCTGTACCAGCTGCTTCTGGATGCCCTATTGATGTCATAGGACAGGGTGCCGGAATGCCAACATGACCAACTTCTGCTGGCATTTTAACCCCCTGATTGCCATGGAGGATTTGCAGATCAAGGGCTTGTTGGCAGCTGTCTACCTTGACTGCTATGCCATTTAGCCATTGCAGCATAAAGATCAGACAAAAAGCAGACCTCATAGAAAGGCTGAGTAATGCAGGGGTGTGTGTGTGTGTGTGTGTTCCAGGAGGTTATCTCCACTACCTCCCTGCTCCAGGGGTGACTTGGGCTAAAGCTTTGGAGGGTTAGAGAGGAGGCCTGTCTTGTTACTGGCTTCTGTGTTGTGGTATTCTTGGGGGGTGAAGGAGATCCTGAAGCTGTAGATCTGTTACTCACATTTTTTGTTGTCTCTGTGGTGGAAAGATAGGAATCAATCCTCATCTGTTTCTCTGCTTTATTGGATTTGTGGGGCCCAGTATCATTACTAGGGCTGATCCAGGTCCTTTTCTTGCCTCTGGATGGCATTTTTGGGCTGTAGGACTAAGCCAGAAGGGGTGAGGCCAGTCACAAGCCAGGAGCTTATTTCAGGAGCTGCTAGTTTGTCACCATCTTGGCTCCTCTTGGGGGAAGATCAAGAGCTCCTAGAGGTAGAAAACTGTAAGCAGTACTTCTGGAAATCCTTTAGCAAAGGCACATTGTTCTTAGGGGAAGAAATCCTTGAATCCAGTTCTTCAGATTGCCGTTTCTAAATCTGAATTGCAATCTAAGCTACGCCTCAGTCCTGGAAAGCATAGGTGGCAGAGAGTGTGATACATCATGCAAGCCTTACTCACTTGTAAGGGCCCCTTCATGGGTAGGAACATTAAAAGCCAATGGCAGAGATCTAGGAAAACAGCACAGGCAACAATGTGATGTTGAGGAAAGCTACACAGGAAACATATATATTAGGAGTAGTTGAGTAAACAAGTGTAAATTGGCCTAGTCAATAATTTGTGCAGGAAAATATGTACAGAAAAATGCATACAAAATGCCATATATGGCCACTGTGGATCTTTCAGATAGTTGTTGTTTTAAATAGATTGTTTCACAAAGAAATTAAACAGGGCACAATAATAAAAAAATACCTACACAGGTTGATTGTGTAGCTAGTGATCTATTCACCCTTATTTTCTGCTATTTTCTGAATTATCACTATTCTCCAAAGCTTTTCCCCATAGTTTAGAAGTTACCATAAGACCATCTTCAATATGTATCCTCCACCCTGCATTCTGGAAAGTGTTGCCTTTCTGAAATTATAAGTGCAGCCATAACGGGATTTTTATTATTAGAGTAGCTCCTGTTCTTGCTTCTGTTTCATTCCTATGAGAGGCTGTATTGCTCTTCAAACCCTTCTTTACTCATTCATTTGATGTTTCATGCCACCTATTTTGTCTTTCAGGTTGGGGGAAGCAGACATTGTGAATCTGCTTTTCCTCTCCTGCCTTGCATTTGTTGCAGAGCAGGAGGGGGGCAGAGACAGAGACTCTTTATTGGTAACTAATGGGCTATTACTTGTTTGATTCAGAAAAGTGAATGTCTATTTTGAGCAGCCCTACAAAGAAGTTGTGTGGTTGAAGGAGAATATTTTCAAGAAGATAATACAGCTGAACCTGCAAGCATTTTTCAGGGGTCACTACCTAGAAAGGCCATGATCCAGGCCTTGCCCTTATGGTATTCCAAGAGATCTGTAAATCCCATTGTCTCAATCTCATACCTCAGTGTAGACTGCATAAATCACAGGGTTGAAAGGGGTTTTAGAGACTATCCAATTCAATTCTCCTCTTAATGTAAAGTCTTTCATTTTTCCATCTCTGACTTTGGATCAAGTATAGAAGTGTAGCCATGAGTCGATGAAGGTGAAAACATGACAGTACTTTAAGAAGTGTGAAGGACCTTAGGCAAAAGTTCTCCTAGATCGTCAAGACACAAATAAAAAACAGGCAGAACTTCAATCACACTGTTGCAGTCACCATCTTGACTTTTTTTTATCATACCCTGTGGAACCTGCCCCCCCCCCCACCCAAGTCCTCACGTTCAGATTTTAGGGTATGAACAGGGCAATGTAAGGAGAAACAATCTTCTAGATTATGAAAACCTCTCAATTAGGTTTGTGCTTCCAAATCAATTAGTTTGCTTGTGAAGAATCAAGAAGCCATGTCAATTCAGATTTTTTCCCCCAAAAAATATAAAGCAGTCTATTGACTTTAGTTTATATTTTGGCAAACAAACTTTACTTCACAGTCAACATTAGCTTTGATTTACCAAGACTTGCAAGAGAGTAAATGCAGTGCCCAAGGCAGGAAGCCAGTTGATAAGACTTTCTGATGTCTGTATTGATTACGGAAGCACATCTGGAGCTGAGGTTATCAGGGCTGTGGGTGCAACTGTAATGTTTCTTCTTATGGCCAAGAAACTCATACATTATATTTGCTTCCTACTGAAGTCTTCTGAGAAGCTTTGTGTCTTCAGCATCAGACACATTTCAGCTTTCTAATTAGCATTATGCTTTTATCTTTAAAAATAGAGCAGTGTAGATTAGAAATGGATGGATGATTAGAGAGACAGACAGATAGAGTGTGTTCTGAATCAACATGTAACCTCTGTTCCCACTGGTATGTTACTCCTCAACCTGGCATCATATTAGTATAATCCAAATGGCATAAAAACTTCTGATATAATAAATGCAGTTTGGATATTATTCAAGAGCAAAATGTCACTTCTGTTTAGATTGCAGAATAGTTACACCTGACATCCATATGTACATCTTGTTGCTGTTTTTATTATTTTATGCTAACCTGCAAGAACTATCCCCCATATGGCTTATATGAGATAAAATAGAAAGACAATAATGATAACAAATATAATGTAAGTAGGTAGAATCTCTGTTCTAATGGAGATTTCCTGGATTCCACTTACAGCCCCCAGCACCACTTCCCATCTTGTTCCAGATGTCACCTGCCATGCCAGACTCAAAATCTGTCCATTTAAAGGTCAGATTCTAAGAGTTCACCAGGAGCTCCAAGGGAGGAAATAAGAAAACAATTTTGTTTGATTACTTTTACCCAGATTATTTTTGTGGCATATTTTGCCGATGCACTTGATGATGTTAAAAAAAAAAAAATGTCCATTGGTAATAACAGGTGAGGAGGAGCTAAAAGGTACAACCAATTATATACATGCCCTGTTTTAGAATGTTTAAAAGCATGTAGATATTCTCCTAAGTAAACTTAAATTCAGAACACATGGAAGAATACTAAAGGAATGAATGGGGATGAGGAGGTGGGGATCCTTTTGTATGCTTGTATCCTTATAGTAATAGCAACATCCTTTTTCAAGAGCACTCCATATCTTCGGGAAGGGAAGAGAAAAGAAGAGAAGTATATGTTGAGTCATCATGCTTCCATCACATCCCTGCATGAAAATCTCAAGACAGGAGTACCACTTTCCGAGTTCATCCCTTTTAAAACTCTCTATATGATGAGATGGATACGTGCTTCTTGGGATGTGCGGCTTCCACCCAAATTTTCAATACAACATCGTGGCTGATGCCTCGGGCAAAGACACTTCCCATATATTTTAACAGTCACCTTTTTCCATCTCTGGAGAACGTTGAATTATAGATGGGAACAAACTCTGCTGACAAGGTGTTGGCATTAAGGAAAGCCCTACTCACTTTTGCTCTCTTCAGAAGGGTAATGTGTGCCCTACTGTATTGGGGATGGGGATTCCCACATAAATATACTGCAATAGATCTAATCCTTGACTGATCCCCAGACTGCAGAATTTTCTCTAACCATTCTTCTCTTTCTGACCTTAACACTAACCCTGACCCTGTACCCTATAGCCCAATGAAGCTAGATCCAGATCAAGCAGTAAATAAAAATTATGATTTTTCTGCCTTTTATTTTTAGTCCAGCAAAAGCAACAAGAGGGTAAAGAATTATGATTTCACTGCTAATGGTGTGACCCACCTCCAAGAGAAACTGTTGGAGAACTGCTCCTCCTTGGAGAAATTCATTGAAAACCCCTGAAGATTTTCTGTGGTCAAATAATGGAAACAATTCCACTCTTTGTCTACAAAGTCTGAAAACTGATACAATGAATTGAGTCCACCATGTTGGAACTCTGGACAACATTCTTTATATGTTTAATTTTCATCCATTTTCTCCCTAGGCACTCTGAGTTGTGTAGTTTTCCACCCATTTATTTCATTACTTTGTTGGATTTTTAAGGCCACCCAATTCAGAAATTACTCTGGGCAGCATGCAATATTAAAAACAGAATTAACAAGAAAGGGTAGCAACACAGCAGAACCATTAAATACCCCCATATAGGCAAAGACTCCACCATCCAAATTAACACAAGGCCTGGGGAAAAAAGAACAGTTTTAAGGGCTTTTTTAAAATAAAGCATAAGTGGGAGGCATATGGATCTTGGAGGGAATGGTCTTCCATTTTCACATCTATCCTGTTGAATGAGTCAAGCTAAGAGAACTAGTGGCCAAATCTAATTCTGAGTATTGCCAAAATAAGATTTGAGTCCAGTCTTGTCAGTGGACTGTACTCACTCTCAGAGTCTGGGAGATGGAGAAGGAAGGCTGGGGGACACACAATTGAACCCTTTGCTAAAGCAGAGTCTTCTGGAGTAGGTGGCTATAATAAAGCATGATGATGTTGATGGTGATGATGATGATACAACTCTGTACAAGCTGCTGGGGACTCAGTGATGGAAAATGGGTAATAAAATGTACGAAGCAAGCAGAACTTACTTTGTTACAAACTTACAAAACTTTTTTCTATAAGATTTTCAGATTCCTCTCATTTGGTTACTGTCTTCTTAAGCAGAAGTGAGCAACATGGGGACATTGGTCCATAAGTAGCTTCAAAAGGCTGTGTTTCTGGGTCCCAAAGTGGAAACATTTAATGTAATAGATGGGGAAATGATGACAGGAATGTAATCATAGTTTTAATATTTAATTAAACAAAAGGAAAAGAGTATCAAATGAAATTCAATTTCATCCTGAAATTGTCTGGTCTCATGGTCCAGTAAAAATTCATTCCCTGATCTGGTAAGAAATATTCCCCCTACTGCTCCATAACATACAACTCAAGCTATATTTTGATTTTATGTTGAAAGAAAGTAAGATGTTTCACCTGGGGATGAATTTCTAAATTAACTGTGCATTTTGTTTTGGGAAAATGATGCCAATCTCTTTCTCATGCAGCTGGGGTACTTCTGATGTTTTGTTGGTATGTCTTCTCCCAACACTTTATGTGCACCTGCTGAAATGTTTATTCCACATCTGGATAGTTGTGGTTCATTTTTGAGTCATTTTTTTTTACTTTCTCTGATCCATTCTGAATGTCCTAGATTACACTTTTCTGGGCTTCATGTTATCCTAGGAGTACTTTTCACTGGAGAATTTACACCAAAATATACTTTCTAGGTTGTCACATTTCACTGCTAAACAACGTACCCAAATTTCAGCCAGTAACTACATATTTTTCCTTTCTGAGCTTAGCATGGACACAGGTTAAAAAAAAAAAACTTTTATCCCAGCCATTGTAACATGTTGATTGATTTCCCCCCTCAAATGCCCCATAAAAGAAAAGCAAAACAGAAACCAGGAAGAAAGAACAAGAAAGCATGATGGTTATTTTCCACCTTCCATCTCTCTCTCTCTCTCTCTCTCTCTCTCGTTACATTTATTTTATCATTCAGATATCATTGTCAAGACAGTCAACAGCCAAAAGAAAATGCTAGATTTAAAATGTCTTGCTGGGATACACTTTTTTTCATATTGTCCTGTCCTGGCCCACGGAAATCACAAACACACAAGTAAGTTTTATAACTTTACTAAAAGGTTTTCAAAGAGAACTCGGATAGCCAAAAGTGTCGAACAAACAATCATAGTCCCTCCTGCCCAAAACACCTAGCCCACAAAAACTCAACCAGCTTAGATTAGAGGCAACAGAGAGTTCAGTTCATAAACAAGGTACGAGAGGGTCAAACAAGCATGATATGAGGGTCCAAAGTCACTACTTGAGAATGCAGGCTAAGGAGGGAAGGAATATGATGGTGAGGTAAACAGAGAGTTGCTGCCAATGGATCTATGAGGTGAGCGGCTCCCCTTATATAGGGGCAGCATGACCCAGATTTGTTCCTTTGACAGGGCGGGGTTCTTTCCGGCGAATAGTCTTCCTGAGTGCCTTTGTTCCGCCCTCTTCTCTTTGTGACAGGCCCCCTCATTGGGGAGACGTATTAGCTCCGCCCCTTCATTTTCTGGGCCCAGCGATGGCTGCCTCTCCTGGTTGCTAGGCAACGCAGCATTCCCTGCCTGCAACTCCTCCAGCTGAATCCCCTCAGACCCTCCTGTAGCTCCTCGTCATCTTTCGAGTCTGAGCTGGCCATGACACATATTACAAAATTAAGCACCTATCTTTTGTTACCAAAGCTCTGGCTCCCTTTTAACTATCCTAACATGTATTTGAATACGTGCAAGCACAGTAAACCCCCCTCAAAGCCAACTCCGCCATATCTTTGGCTGTGTTCCACGAAGGTTAAGTTCAAGACATTTTGAATAATAATTCTTCTCTTCCTTTCGGATCTACCTGGATGCTGATTTGGCGTGACCTAGTTTTCTCGTTTGTTCCTTAACTAGCAGTCGAGAGACACATTATTTGCATTCGTGGTTTGGCTGTGTGACTAATTGGGGAAATTTGTAATCTTGCACTTTTGTATTGGCATAATATCATAGCAGTCCTTATTAAAATAGCCTGGTGCTTTTAATCTATGGCTTACTGATTCTTATGTCCTTTTTTGTACTTTCATACAAATATTATCATACTAAAGCTGCTCAGAGTGGGGTTTTTTATGCTTTCTCGAAAGGGCTGTGTTCCATGCAGCTTCTTTTAAATGCGCCAAAAAGAACTGCAAAAAGAAAAAAAGTCTAATAATTCCACTCCTATTATTTCTATTTTCATCTTGACATACTGCAGCTTCCCCAGCCATAGCACCCTACAGATATATGGACTCCAATTCCCAGAATTCTCAGCCGTGGCCAAGCTGGGTAGAATTTACTTACTCCATGGCCGCTGAGGAGATCAGAACCGCCCAACCTACATTTTCTGGATCTGTTGGTCTTCCAGTTTGTCGGACCTGATCGCTTTTAAGTGCCTCAAAATATATTTCACAAGTAATAAGTATTGAAAATATTTAGCATATTTATTCAGAAGTTGGTTTATAACAGATGCTCTGGGGGAAAAAAAACCCTATTTGGACACATTTCAAAAGTCATCAAAAACATTGTGTTTTTCCACCAAAATTTGAAGTTTTGTCATCCCATAATGCCAAGCATATGTTTATAAAATTCCTCGGAGGCAAATAATTTTCTCTTCAAAAGATAAGGATGACAAGAGAAATCTTAATTAAAATCCAAAAGTTTCTTTCCGTCTGAAAATAGTTTGGGCCAATATTTTCTTTAAACAAACTCTAAATTCCTTGGTCCTGTCATTTATCAATGCAAGAGAACAGTATGTGCAAAGTTTGAACGGATTTTTCTCTGTACATATGTTCCCTTTACTCTGAAGGAGTGTAAGTGAGGAGGAATAAACATGGAGTTCTGGGGGTGATACAGGGAAATGTTGCTTCCTGGGCTGTATCAGGAACATGAAATTACTTTAGATTCTAGGCACTTTTCCATATTCCAGTACTCCTGCGTCCTTCACTTCACCAATGGCACACCCAGAGTAGCAGAAGTGGAAGGGGACACCACAGGCATCTCAATAATGTCATGATGCCTTGAACCCCTGCCCATGGAGGAAACGTCTGGTCCCTTAAGTATCACCCAATCATCATATTTCCATCTCCATCAATGGGGTGAAACTTTTCTTGAACCCCTGAAGACCTCTTTCAAAAGTCAGCTTCCTCCGAAGAGTTATCCTGTTAAAGCATGTGGCAATTTAATTTGCCTAGGCTAAAATGGTTGGAAACCTTATCTCATCTTTTATGTCATTATATTTGAGTCAATTGTGCATTTTCCCTTACACCCAAAACTAGCTTGATGCCACTTTAAGTCAACATCTTTGAGATTTGAAGTCTGAATGACACTATCTACTCTGACTTACTTCAGGGATCTCCCCAAAGCCATTTGGAGATGTCAGAATATGTCAGAAATGGCATGGAAACTCAGAATTTGCTGTATCATTTTGAATATTATAACTATTCAGGAATATAGGAGGGGGGAGACTAGTGACTTCAATTTTTGCTGCTTGACAGACATTATCTTACCAATGATTAAACTATGTTTCCAAAAATGAATGGTTGTAGTATTCTCCATTAATGCCAAATTATTTTGTAAGTTGTTGATCTGTATTTCAGATTTGCTGCCTGTTACAAAGTCTGATGATAATTATGGGAAAAGGCTGTCTGCTTCTTCTAAAATGCTTTTTTACTCCAAACTTTATTTTTAATAGCCTCAATCAAGTTACCTAAGTTGCTATATTCATTTCTTAAATTAATGTCAATTATTCAGTCATTTATTAAGTCATTTCAATTGAAATCCCTATATCATAATCACCAGCACAAGGGCAACTTTGATGTTTAACAGAGAGGGATCTAAAATTCCTATAAGAGAAGATATATGATTGCAGATCTATAGAGAGCAGTCTTGAGGAATTGTACCCAATTAAATCAAACCAGTGTTTGGAGACATATTATTTAGAATAAGAGACATTTGGTTGTGATACTGTACACCTTCATCTAAAAGTAACTCTCCTCAAATTCAGTTATAGGTTTGCTTACTACGCTGTTATTTGCTTCAGCTTTGTTTCTTGAATAACCCACTGTTGGCTGGGTTCCTGTGGTATGCTAAGCCACAAACCAGTTTCCAAGTGACAATGGCCAGGCTAGCACAATTTACTATATCACACCAAACCAAAAGAGAAATGGTTTGTAAGCTTGCATGGGTCAGCTTTGAAAACAAGACCTACTTGTTCTGAACTTCAGAATCCAGGACAGAACAGGGATAATTATTTCAGAATTTCCAAATTCTTACTTGCCATAAATTATGAAACAGGCAGAGCTTGCAAAATTTGGAGGGACTTTTCACATCCTTCTCTGAGCGTTTTGAGCAATAGTGAGCACATTCAGAAAATGAGACAAAAGACTGGATTTAGTCTTTGGCGGTATAAAAGCTAGAACACACAGTTGGGTAGTCGACAAAGAGTCCAGCTTGCATGGATCAAAAGTAGGCCAATCAGGTATTGATTGGGTCCCTGAAGAACTAATACAAATCTGATTAGAGAGAATTGGGCCAGATCAATCTACAGTCTGACTTGATGAAACAAGGCAGCACCCCAATTTTTTGCGCAGATTTTACTTTTCCTATAAACCTAGAATCACAGAATTGTAGACTTTGAACAGATAGGAAAGATTATGTAGACCAGGGTTCCCCAATGTGGTCAATATCAACCCCCAAGGGTCAATAGAATTATCTATTACTGTTGATATTATTAGTAGCAGTAGCAGCAGTATTCATAGTACTATTAGAGTAGTATTTATTAAATTATTTTCATATACTAAACGTTTGGGGATCAATGAACAATCTGAAACTTCATGAACGGGGTCAATGAGCTGAAGAGTTTTGGGACCCCTGAAATCAACCAAGGCTTTCTGCAATGTGTAGAAAAACCAATTAAACCA